AAGTTTGGTATCAATGATCACTTATATATCAGCTATTGTGGTTTGATTTCTGTATGCATATTCCTCAAAATTTTAACTCTCAATCAAACCACCTTTAGAGCTATTCTAATGGCAACCTAATTGTCAAATTAGATGATTATCTTCTTATCTATCGTGTGACCCAATGGTTGGATTACTTGGATACTAGTTTGTTATTAATTTAAATAATGAACCGTAATCGATTATTATTATAATTTTACAATAATTAAGGAGATTGAGACCAATTCTAAATATATAAGTAATGTCATATCCTAATATTGGACGAATCCCATATAATAACCAAATGAAAAAAAATGTGGAGGTGAGCAATTACATGGCAAACTTTTTTTTTTTTTGGAAAGAATACAATGACAAATTGTTAAATATAGTAAATATATTTTTGTATTTATAAATTAGGAAAGCCAATATTCAACCCCTTATATTTAGGCTAAATACATACTACTATTGCTAGTTGTTTCCTTATAATTAGGACATATCATGCTTCTGTTTTGTATATACATGTATTCTAGTTTTATCAATGATAATGGAAAATATTCTTTTTCCTATTTGTCAAAATAGCGTTACATGTTAAATGTGATTTTTTGTATTTTGTTTTTTACCCAATGTTTAGTACTACGACTCCGCGAGTATCTTTTTTTTATTAGTTTAGTTTCATTTTTAATTTATAGTCTATATTTTATGTGCCATAAAAATTAATTGATAACAACACTATTGTATATCATTGATTTATTTCCTAAATAGTACGTTAAATATTATAATAGAATATTTGAAAAAGATTTGGACGACAATTTATATAGGATAACTTATGTTTCATTTAGTAACAATATTTCCTAAAAATAAGCAATCAACAGCCATCATATAGGCAATATTCTTAAAATAGATCTTAAATCTAACACATTCCATTGTTAATCTAAATTTCAATTTTGATTGGTTGCTTTAAATATATGATTTTTTTTTTTTACCTTATAGAAAGATGGTTTAAATTTCAAATTATTACACAAACCAAAAAACAAAAATTAATGTCCAAACCTATATAATGAGCAAATTGGTCAAAGGAAGAAGACGCAATTTAGGATACAAAGATATATAATGAGCAAATCGATTAGAGGAAGAAAACGCAATTTTTTTTTAAAATATTCTTCTCATAAACCTTGTTTGATACGTAGAACACAAGTGTGAGTTTTGTGATATGTTTATAGTTCAGTTTTTAACTTATGTGTACTTTGGTTATTACCTAAAAAAGAAAGTTTATTGAGTTTGACGAATGACCATATGTATTTTGGATATTGTGAAAATTCCAACTTTATGATTTTTTTAACGTGGAGATGAGAGAAACCCACATTTTGATTTTATTTTACGATAAGCATGTCAAAAAATCAGAAAATATGATCTTATTTTAGAAAAAAAAGACTTAAAGTGTTTCCTTGAAAAAAAAAAGATAGATTTAAAATCATAAACCTTAATTAAATTATGGTATTTTCCTAATTTTATCTTTTTTTTAGGGAAAGTACGTAAATTTTTATCCAAAGATTTTGTTAAGATTCTACTAATCAATTTGGGTGAAGAAATAACAAAATCTCAGGAAAATCTAAAATTTGAGGGAAAGTAAATCATCTATTATCCTAAGATTTATTAATATTCCATATACTAAATTTTATCCTCTTTTTAAATTCATTTTACACGATTGTTTATCAAACATTCCAGGTTTATTGCATTATTAAAAATATATATTACTATAATTCTAGGCGTGATAAAAATCAATAATTTTACAAAATCATAAGATATGTCGACAAAATCAATAAGATATATATATTCTAATATTTAGATTATATTAGAATATAATCTTTTGAAATTTGAAAAATATACAGATTTTAAAATCTTCTATACAATAATAATAAGATAAGAAATTAGGAAAATATCCTTATTATAATTGGTGATTGAAATTTTTTTAAATAATATTTCTAATGTTAAAAGATATCCTAATAGATATTGATTCCATTATATTTATTTATATATATATAATCATTAAAATAGATTCATTTTAATTTTTGTACATGTTTAATATTTTGCAAAGGTCGTAAAGTACTTTAAAATAATTGGTTATTTCTAATATAATGTATGATCATAGTCATTTAATATTTAAAATGTATATAATAGGTAATGTCCAATCCGTATGTGGGTAAATTCCTTAAACACAAATACGATTTGGAATTCGGTCTCCTTTTTTTTGGATCAAACAGTGTTTCGAAGAAAAATCATACATTTTCTAATTAGATTATCTTGAAGAAAGTAGATTACCGAATTAAGAAAATAACAAGATATTAATGAATTATAAATCAGTAATGGTAATGTCCAAAAGAACTTGATGTCATCATATGTTTTTAATAATTACAATTTTCATAACAGGTAATGTCCTATCCTTTATTTGGGTAAAACATTTTACACAAACAGGATTTCAATTCGATTTCCCTTTTTTTGGATCAAACAAGGTTTCGAAAAAATAATGATGCGATTTCTTTTTCAGATGTTCATGACAAACCCCGATTATCGTAAAACTTAAAAATTGTTATTTCGATTATATAAAATCACCGTTTTTGCAAACGTTGACTGATTTAGTACAATCCAAACCTATTATTTAGAGATTTAAATCGCTGCCCAAATTCGCAACGACTACAACTTTTTGATATCTTAAAATTTCGCATTTGCTTTTTGAATCGATCCATATTGTTATTCGCTTTTGATGCGCAAGTGAATTTAATGGACATAGATCATGTGTTTGTGTTTAATCTCATCCATGAATGAAAAAACTTGAAGAACATTGATGAACTATGAAGAACATTGATGAACAATTTTTTTATTTGATTTTTTTTTAATTTAATCGTTTTTTTATTTTATTAAAATCTTATTTTAATAATTAAATTTCGAAAATGTAATTAAAATGATTTTCGTAAATTCAGTAATTAAATTTTGGAAAATAAAAAAAAGAATTAAAAAAGGAAATAACTAAAAATAAGGTTTGACCAAGTAAAAAAATAAATAAAAAATCGGCCAATGATAATTCAATATAGTGAAGGTCCAAATAAAGTGGACTATAGTAGAATTTTCGATTTTTTATACTTACTATTTTGTTTTAAAGATAAGTTTATGTAATTATCTGACATTGATAAACAAAGAGGGAGTTAATTAATTTATAAGGTTAAAAGTCTTCTGTTATCATATATACTCCCTCCGTTTCAAGTTACTCACAACAATTACCAAAAATGACCGTTTCACATTACTTGCAACAAGTTTTTTTTCCTTTTATAGTAAGTTTTTTAGTGTGATTTTACAAATATGCCCTTACTTTTGGTTTTAAACACCTTAATTAAACTTTTGATTTTATCTCATTAACTTAAACTCTACATTAATTAACTTAATCAATTCCCCCAAAATCATTCCCCTCCCAATTTAATTAAATTGCCAACCACCACCACTACCATCACCACCACTACCACCACCACCACCATACCCAGATTTTCTCTCTCTTTCTTCACCGATCTACCCACAATTCGACCACAACACCTCGCCGGAAGTCATGACGATGTCGGCCGTCCCCTCGCTTGTGGGTTTGGGTTCCAATTCTGGGTTGTGGGTTTTGGGTTCGAAATCTGGCCGGGTACGTGGGTGGTGGTGGGTTGTGGGTTTTGGTGTTTGATTAAATGAGAACAACCAGGATGAAAACCATGCATTTATCCTACTTCATTCAAGACTATAGTAAAGTATTCCATACATATTAAAAATAACAGAGGGGAGACAGGATCACCCTGTATTAGACCTCTTTTACCCTCAAAATACCCATGTAAAGTACCATTCACCATCACTGAATACTTTGGTGTTGACACACAAAGCATAATCCACTGAATGAACTGAGTCCCTTTTTTTGTAATTCCTATGATGCAATTGGAGCTTATCGTCAGAAAAGAATCCGTTTAGATAGTCCTTTGTGGCTCCGGTGGCAGCTAGATCAACGCATTATTGCTTCAAAAGAAGCTCCCATTGAAGTTCACTATGAATCTTTGGGCACCTATCATGAGATTTATGCGCATTATCTAATAAAAAGAAGTGTCAAAAAAGAAATTTGTTTTATATACATTCGAACTACTGTTGGTCATATTTCTCTTTATCGAGAAATTGAAGAAGCTATACAAGGATTTTGTCAAGCCTGCGCATAGGGTACTAAATCATATCGTATTTTTGAAATTCGAGTCTTTCGGGTTCAACTAGGATCATAGGGTGGATTCGTGGGTGGTTTCGTTGGTGGATTCGGGGGTGGATTCTGGGTGGTTTCGTGGGGGTTTCATGGGTAGATTCGTGGGTGGTTTTGTGGTAGTTTCTTGGTGGTTTCGTGGGTGAAATCAGGGGTCGATTCGTGGGTGGTTTCGTAGGTGGTTTGGTGGTGGTTTCGTGGTGGTTTTGTGGTGGTTTCGTGGTGGTTTTATGGTGGTTTCGTGGTGCTCGGTGGTGGACTGGTGGTGGTAGGTGTTGGTGGTGGTGCTTGGTGTTGGTGCTAGCTGTAGGTGGTGGTGGTGCTAGGTGTTGGTTTTGAGTTGGATTAGTACTTAAGTGTATCCCTAATTTTTCAATAATCAAGCTTATGATCTTTTGTTTAGGAGTCCGCAACTCCCTCCTTTGTTGCGAGTAACTTGAAACGGAGGGAGTATATTAGGGGTGAAAGTAGTTTGGATAAAAACCGAAAACCGATCCAAACAAAACCGAACTATTGGTTCGGTTTTTTCGGTTTTCGGTTTGGATTCGGTTCCAAAATCCTGAAACCGAATTATTTCGGTTTGGATTCGGTTCTGGGTCCTAAAAAACCGAAAACCGAAATCCAAACCGAAATGTTTAAAGCCCATATAGATTCCAGCCCAATTCCCCTACATATATATAGCAAACCCTAATATTCTCCTTCATTTTTTTGACTTTCGGCCACCTTCACTCCTCAATTCCTCTACTTCCTCACCAAAACCCTTCATTTCCTTCACTCCGACCACCGTATCTCACCACCGTATCTCACTCCGGCCACCGTATATTGTCTCCTTGGTCGAATATCAGTTCCTTTCTTCATATCTGGTGTTCGTAGACTTCGTACTCCCTCAATCCGCGACGCGCCACCACCTTCTGTCGCCACCACCTCTCTCAGTCACTCAAAGGTAAGGATTTTTTTATTTACTCCTCTTTTCCTCTTTCATTTGTTTTTTTGAATTGGGAATTTGAATTATGTTCGAATTAGGAATTTTGAGTTATTTCTGGGAAATTAATTTATTATGTTCGAATTGTGAAATTGAGTTATTAATTTATTATGTTCAAATTGGGAATTTTGATTTATCTCTGGGTTATTATGTTCGAATTGATTCCATTCAAATTGGTGATGTTTTGTTCAATCTTTATAATGATGTTTTGTTCTGTTATGTTCAAATTGGTGAGTACTTATGTTATTTTTGATAGATTCATTATTTTATGAGCCTTATTTTTGTAGTATAATGATTAATATCATATGTTTTTTTTTTCATTATGTCATATATATTATGTAACTTGTTTATTTTTTGAATGTTAGACTTGAAGAATATGAAAATTACTGATCCAATCAACCCAAACTTGGTTGAGCTTGATTGAATGCATGAAGAGTACGCTGCCAAGAAGAAGAAGCTAATGCCAGATTTGAATGAAGTTGCTGCCAATCTGTCATACTGTCATTTTATGTTTAAGATTACTGTTGTGTTTGACTGTCTATAATTTTTATTTTGGCTGGACAAACTTAAGTGTTGTAATTCGTGACATTAATTGTGGTGGTGGAAGCTTTGTCTAAAAATTTATGTTTTGCTCAGGAACAGGTACAAAAATTAGGTCTTTAAAAGGCCCAAAACTATTTGTCCAATAACAGCCTAGAATTCAAGGCCCAAAAATACAGCCCAAAGAAATTCGGTTCGGTTTGGATTCAATATCCAAAACCGAATTATTTCGGTTTGGATTGGATTGGATTGAATCCAAATTCGATTTGGATTCGGTTTCAAAAATCCAAAACCGAAATAATTCGGTTTGGATTCGGTTTGGGGTATAATCCAAACCGAATACCGAACTTTCACCCCTAGAGTATATAGGGGGATTATTAGAAGCTTATTTGTATTTATATAGTGAATTATATTTTGTTAAAAGCTCATTTTTGACGATTTGAATTTAAACATTATCACACATGTCTAAAATAAAAAAATGCGATAACTAAAAAAAACAAACAAAATATATAACTTACGATCAACTCTCAAATAAAACTCTTGAAAATGAGAGATGCTTTATTTCTATTTTCATTTATTTATAACCTATATTTAATACTTATCGCACTAATAATGGCCCCGTTTTCTTCCAAAATTCCTAATATTCGTGGTAATACAACCACTTTTTTCAACTTTGAAGTTTAGTATGATCATGCTAGAGACACAACTTTGCTTTACAGGCCAACCATCAGTACAAACTAAAAGGCTACTTTCAACCATCAAGTCATCAAGTGCTATACAGAAAATGGCTCGATCCTTTTTTTTTTTTTCTTCCTGTCTCGTCTACCAAAGTTTTAAACTCTTGTTTATGTTGCATTAATAATATGCGTTTGGTGTACATGGAAAATAAATTTTTGTAAGAAATTATATTTTATGAAAAGTTATTTTCCTAATGAAATTCCTAGCAATATCTTTAATTTATTTCCTACTACAAACTCACTTTAGGTATTTTAAAGGTGGTGTTGATAATCTATTTATATTTACTTGTCTTATTCTCACATGACCTAACGCTTGTTAAACCCGTCTTAATTAACCTATGTGAAAATCCAATCAGATATACTTCTTACAATAATACCATATAGTTTTTCTTCGCACTATTACTTTTAATGACAAGAATCATCACTCTACAATATGGAGTGTAAAGAATTTGTTCCAGGGTATATTGTGTACGAAGTGAAAGAGTTTGTGGAATATTTTCCTCAAGGGATTTCATTCACTGACTTCCCAATATATACAAGATAGCCGCATATTGCTAGCCATAATACAAGGCATATATTTAGGAACTAATTACAATCATATCAATCTAAATATATCCTTAGCTAAAATACAATAACAGAATATATATATATATATATATATATACATATATATCTTAACACGAAGTTCAACCAAATCCATAAACGAGTACATCCAAGACATAATTATTTTAAGTTTTTAACCTTCTTTGTGCTAATTAAATGGAAATGTGGTCCAATGCACGATAGATTGATAGGTACTACTTAAATTAAACATGAAGATTTTGCAACGTTAATAATTATTTTTATAATAATAATAATAATAATAATAATAATAAAAATAATAATAATAATAATAATAACCGTAGTGAGATCGCTGCCCCCAAATTCATGAAAAAGTTGGCAAATATATATTTCACGAAGGTCACTGCATCTGCGGATTCCACTTTCTTCTTAACTCCGCGTCAGGTAGCCTTATGGAAGTCCCAGCAGGGGGATCACTCTTCGGTCTGGTTGCGGACGGTCCTGATATCGGGTTTGGGTCAGACTATGAATGGTAAGACTTACCGTAGTGTTCTTTGCTACCGGTTAGGTGTTCCTTTGTTCTCCGTTTCAACACCGTGTTCTGCTTGCTCTAGGGTTTTTGACGATACAGTGTCTTGTGCTGGGATGGTGGGTATTAAACATCGACACAATGTTGTTCGTGACACCCTTGTTAATGTTTGTTTTCAGTCTGGAATATCTGCTCGAAAGGAGGTTAACATTGGGTTGATTGGAGGAAACGACGGGGCTCTACGACCTGCAGATGTGCTGCTTTATTCCTAGGATAGAGGCCTTGATGTATGTGTTGATTTGACGGGGTCTTCACCTTTGACACAATCGGGGTTGTCTGACTTCGTTCCTGGTCGTGTTGTGTCGACGGCGGCTCAGCGGAAGCGGGACAAGTATGGGGCGCATTGCAGAGCTATTGGCTATGGTTTTCTTCTTTTCTCTTTTTCTTCGTTGGGGGAATTAGAGAAGGATGATATTTCGTTGCTGAAGCGGGTTCAGGCGTTCGCTAAGACTCAGGATATTGGTGCTCGTGCAACTGCTCACATCTTCAGCAGGATCGGGTTCGCTATAGCTAGAGGGGTGGGGGCCCAGATTGTATCTCGGCTCCCTACCAATTTCTTGTAAATTGATTGACTCTGTAGGTTTTGTTTTTTTTTATAAAAATAATAATAATAATAATAATAATAATAATAATAATTTTTTAAAAAAAAAAAAAGAAAAGTGGGTATCTTACAAAATACTGTATATAAAAAACCTTTTTTTTACCTGTATATAAAAAGACTTACCTAAGGTGTAATTGCTTTTAGATACTATATAATACGGAGTATATAGACATATAGTATGTGTTTTGTTGAGGTCTAACAATATGCTTATGCTTATGCTTCTAATAGGTTTAATGAACCTTTAAAAATTATATACTTCGTCTTAATTATAAATTAATTAATGATTATAAAGCAAACTACTCAGAATCTTAGGTTACTTTTTTTAGTGCAACTGTTTTCCTTTTTCAGTTATATATTCTTAATTTAGTAATACTTTTACCGACCTAAACTTTATTAGTCCTATGCTAGCTTCTCCCCGCACATATATTTTTAACGATTATTATATAATGTTTATAAATAAAATTTGTATTTACAATATTTTTCAAAAGATGGTGTAGTTAAATTTACAGTACAACTTTAATAGAGTTTTTATAAGTTGACTGGCCTTTTGCTTCGCACGGTATGTATAGATATACAATATAATTTTTTTATTTATATTATATTTTAATTGGAAAATGAATAATATATATAGAAGAAGAAAGAGTGATAATTGAATGTTATTGTATAAGATATTAAGTTATAAGAAAGTGAATCAAATAACTTTCATACATATATTCAAGGAAAATTTGCGAGGAAGGTCAGTTTAAGTGGTCGACTTTGTGAGGAAGACCCGTTTATAAAAAAAGGTGGTACAAAAGGTCCTTATATCCCACTTGGGTTGTAGGAAGGGTCCGTTGACTAAACTCCGGTGTTGACTAGATTTTTCTGGCCAAATAAAGTCAAGTGCATAGCACGTGACAACGTTTTCAAATAGTACTTTGTATATCATTATTATTTTGAGGGTTAAAAATATATGATTAAGACATATTTATAAGTAAAATCATTATTACTCATTAATCATTTTATTTTAAAATTTTTGTGAAATGAATACAAGTAAACTGTTGCCTTTTATCTTTATACTATTAACATATGTTAAATACGGCACACATTTCTTTATGTTTTCACTCACCTAAATCAATAGTGTATGCACTTAAAATAATAATAATAATAATCATTAAGGTTGAAGTTAATGGCAACTACACTAAATTTTAGGTTAACAATTCAATTTCTTAAGAAGAATCCTCTCAATTAGGTTTAAGCACAAAATAATAAAATATTCCTTTTATATATGTTATTCAAGTAACATATTAACCCTAGATAAATTTCCATACACCAATAAGATGACATACAGCGGCGGAGCCAGGATTTTAACTGTAATACCCTAAACTTTTCGATTTTAAGTTTCGGGGACGAAACTTGTTTTAAGGAGGGTATATTGTAATACCCGAATATTTTATGATTTTATATTATACTAGTTTTGTGCCCCGGCGATGCCCGGGTAGTTTATGGACTGTTAAAATAAAATTATACTATTATAATTCAATTTGATAGAAAATAGAATTCTAAATTAACTTTTTTTTGCTACAAAGTCAATCTATATTTATCCAACGTGATACCATACTTGGCGAAAAATTAAAACGGTAAATGATGTTGTCTTGTGGCCTAATTATAAATTTGTTATTTGATATTTTATCGAAGAAATAACTCTAAACTAACAATCTTATTCTAAAATTCTATCCTAATTTGATTTAAAATAGAATTCTTATCTAATTTTTTTTATCTGATGAAATCTATCCAAGGTGGCGCGACACTTGACGGTTTTTTATCATATGAAGTCTATTTAAATCTATCCAAGGTGGCGCGACACTTGGCGAAAAATTGGAATGTCAAGTGTCGCTATTTCGTGACCTGGCTAAAAGTTTAGTTTTATATATTAGTTATATGATATTTTTATTAAAAAAAATAGTTATTTTTATTTATTAAATAACTTTCCTATTCTCATATTTTTATTTATTAAATAACTTTCCTAATCTCATATTTTTATTTTAGAGTTCAAAAAGGTTTAAAACCCTATTATAATTTAAATATGACTCTTTATTTTAAAGCGTATATAAACTACTTTAACCCTATTATTTATTTGTACAGCCGTAAGTTTTGGTATAAAAATTCCTTTCTCATGGGCTTATAGCTAGAAATTGCCATAATTACCATGAATTCCTATAATATGTATTTTCTTCATGATAACTCTTGATAAAATCCATTATTATCACTTTTCCCCAAAATTACAATTCTTGTGCGTGAGTTTTAATTGTGACGGTGGAGTATCTTGTGCGTGAGTGTGTGAGTTGTTAATCGTGAATCAGTGGAGTATCGTGCTTTATATTTGCTTAATTGTTTTCGGAAGGTAATCACACTAAATTTTAGAGATGTTTGTATTATATTTCGTATTATTATTATGTGTGATATGATTTATTATTGGTACTCCTTGTGTTTGGGCCTAGTTCATTGTCCTAAGCCTAGTGACCTGGAATTACGAAAATACCCCTCCATGATCCAGCCCATCATTAATCAAACCAAAGTACGGATTTACCCCTAATCTGTCCAATTAAGTAC